CTTAGACTTCTGGCCTCCTGCTCCATGAGAAAACAGGCTTCTGTTGTTTCAGTTAATGATAAAACAAAAGCAGTGACCTTCTGCAACTGTCCTCACACAGGCAACCTGTCATGTCAGCTCACTTCCTCTGCCGCCTCTAGGCTGCTCCACAGGGTTACTTCAAGATGACCAGAGTTCTTTAGGCCTTGACTTTGATGGCCTCCATCCCATCAGAGCCTCCTGTGTGGCTCTCTTTTGGAAACTCACTCTACTCTGAGTACATGATTCCATCCAAGGATGGCAACCTGTGACAGCAGATACAGGTCTCATGTCAATCACCAAAGCCCTGGTATTTAAACAGGACTCCAGTCCACCCCACTGGACATGCTCAGTCTTTAGCTGCACAACTCAGGGATGAGAAGACACTCATTTCAAGCTGACCTCATGTGGAGAGCACAGGAAGGCTTTACTCAGCCCAGCTGACCTGCCATCAGGCCTAGATCTGGTACCCACTTCAAGACAGTTATTGGCTCCTTCTCTCGGTCAGTCATCACTGCAAATGCTCTCTAGCACTTTCTTCAGGATCTTCCTGGTGTAGTGCCTACCATGTCTACATACACAGAGGAAAAAGAAACTGATAGGCTGTGACGGCACTACCCTTTAATGAAGGTATTCTCCTCTTCTGACTTGTGCTGAGAATCCATTAGGGTCAGAAGTCAGGCTGTTGCTAATCAGCCCTCTCCTTCCCCTCCCAACCTTGAATTCCCAATCTTAAAACATAGCTGCTGTTTTCATTTCTGTTTTTTTGTTTTCCTAAGTGAAATGTTTGCTTGTTCCTGGAGGAGGAAAAGATAGGTTCTGGGTACAGGCCTTATGCAAGTTGGAGGGACTCCAGTGATTTAATTTCAAGCTACCTTGCAAGACTGCACATTCTCATCTGAGAGCAAGGAAAGTAGATAAACATTCACAAGGCCGTTGACAATAGCCTAGGAACCGAATGACTTACTAGCAGGTGCCCAGGACCTTCACCTCCTGCTCCCTCCATCCACTTCACAGCCCTAGGACAGCCTCCTTCCAGAACATGAAGGAGAAATGCTGAAAACAGGTTTTATAAAGGTATTTTATACACATGCATGTACATGTAAACATAAAAGCATTATTGTAATTATTTTATCTGGTTTTAACAAATATTTGAAATGAGAGGGGACAGACAGCAAGATGGCTCAGCAGTTAAAGGTGCTTGTTGCCACACCAGATGACCTGAGCTCCTACCCCAGAACTACTCACATGACAGGAGACAACTGACTGCACAAAGTTGTCCTCTGACCTCCACACGCAGTCCATGGCACTTGTACACACACACACACACACACACACACACACACACACACTCTTGCACACACTCACACCACTCATATAAAAACAATAAATAATACTTTTTAAGGGCCCAACACAGTGGTGCACACTTTTAATCCTAGCACTGAGGAGGCAGAAACAGGTATATCTCTGTGAGTTTGAGTTCATCCTGGTCTACAGAGAGCCAGAGCTATATGGTGAGATCTAGCTCAAAAAAAAAAAAAAAGTTTTTAATAGTAATGCTATCCTGGTGGGTATGGTGGCAGAGTCCTGTAATCCTGGCACTTCGAAGACACCAGAAATTAGGGTCAATTGTGGTGTTCTGTTTTGATTTTTACGTTGTTAAGGCAATGCCTAATGAATCTCTACCACACATTCCCACCATAATGTACTTCACAACAGTCTAGGCATGGTGAGGTCAGCCAATGACTGAGACTTCCAAAACTGTGGGCTTGTCACAGGAAAGCTAGTAATGTATTCAGATATGAGCTACAATTAAACGTGCTGAGGGGACTCTCCTGGCAGCCAGAAATAATGGTACTCATAGATTAAAGCTTGTGGATAGGAATTCTGGTTTGAGGCAATGAAGCTGTTTGCTAAGGTGACGAATGATTAAAGGGAAGCTATGTACACACTAGAACACACACACACATGCACACAAACTCGCATACACAGAGACAATGGCCAACATGTGCCATAATGCCATAGTGACACCTAATGTGCTGAAACATAAGACAGGGAACAAATGGGAGACAAATGAGATAGGTTATCGAATGTCAGTGAACTGATAATATATATTGGTATATTTGGGTTGATGTCTTATGGGGGTGATCTACCACTGAGCCACATCCCCAGCCCTTTACATGCTCTGAGTCAGGGTCCCAGCTGGTTGCTCGGCTAGCCTCCAACTCTCCCTGTAATCCAGGTAGATCTTGCTATCTTCTCGCCTCCACGGTGGGAGCTGGGGTAATAGGTCTGTAGCTCCCTGCCTGGCAGAATAGGTGTCTTTGTTTTATGCTGAGATAAAACCTGGGATGACCACAAACACCTGTTGGGATCAACAGGCTGGGGACAAAGTTAAAACCCTGAGTCAGATCCCTCGAGTGCTAGGTCAATAGGCATGAACTACCATGCTGGAGAGCCACAGCTGTGATCACTAACTTAGTGAACACTGAACCTGTTCACAGGAAAATACAGGTAGGCTCTTTTGGGCCTCTTGTCAGATGTCTGTCAGCTTTGAAAATTCACCTATTTTTTAAGACATGGTCTCAAACTATACACTACTGCTCTTGAACTCACAGTAATCCTGCCATTTCAATCTTTCCAGTACATTTAGATTTTGTATACAGAGTCTCATGTAGCCCAGGCTGGCCTCAAACTCCCCATGTAACTGAGGGTTCCTCCCAAGTGCTAGGATTACAGAAGCATGCCTGGCTGGCTATCCATGTCTTTTGACATACGCCCCAGCCTCTTGCAATGCTTGTTCCTTGTGCTGATCTTGTTCGTGGGTGCTTGTCCTGGGGTCTGCAGCATGGCACTCCTCTGTTGTACGTAAAACAGTTACCCAGCTCCTCATTCCTCAGCTCAACAAAATGGAAACTCTTTGAGGGCAAGGCTTTGTCTTGTTCATCCATGCACAGTTCCCGACACAAAGCTGGGCACCAGGGATTCACGCATGCATGGTTCTCAACTCCAGACTCTGAGCAATATGACCAGGAATTTGATAGAAAACACTTCTAGTCCTGTGCAGGCCAGGACCACATTCAGCAGCTACTGAGTTCTCAAACACAGCAGGCTCTAAAGGGGATGTGCTCAAAGTGAAAGCTCTGCACCAATTGTGAAGATGTACCACACAGACATCTGTAGCTGCTGGAGTTACAACATAGCATCGCTTGTTGGGGTCCTAGCTATGGGACTATCTTGTTCATTACCAAGAATGGTGGTTAAGCAAGCAAAAGGGATAGACAGACGAGGCAATAACTCTCTTGGAAATGAAACAGAAAGCCAGACCACCCCCTTGCCATCCCTAGCTTTCTGCCTTTGCCTCAATGGTCCCTGATTGATTGATTGATTCCTTCCTTCCTGAGACAGGGTCTAATGTACCTCAAACTTGCTTGAAGCTATGTGACCTACTGATCCTCCTTGCCACTGCCTCCCAGGTGCTGGAACTGCAGGGATATATGCTATGCCTAGCCAACTCTTCCTGATTTCTGTTCGATCCTGGTCTCACAAGTCCATCAGTAGAATGCTTGCCTAGCAGCTTAAGGACCTGAACTTCATTCTGACGCTGCAAACATAAGCACGCCAAAACTTTTGCTCAAAACAAAAAAGTAAATTATTTCTAACTTGTCTATGTACATTTGGGATGTAGAAATGAAAGGTTCAGGGTGTCTGGGTATAATGGTGCAGGCCTGTAACCCCAGTACCTAGAAATGAAAGGTGAATGAATGATCCAGGGTTCAAAGCCATCCTCCACTATATACTGAACTTTGAAGTCAGCCAAGGCTACTTAAGGATGTTTTTGTTGTTGCTGTTTTGGTTTTGGCTTCTACAGTCAACTGTCCAGCTCTGGGCTGTTGTAATAGGACCAATGAAAGCTTAGGGGAAACCTTTGATTTGTGCAATTGCGCTTTAAAAATAGTAAAGTTATTTTTGTTTGTTTGCTTAATGCTTTAGAAATCTGAGATTCTGAGAGTTCAATTGCCCAACCTCACAAAGTTCACCCACTCCTTACGTAAATCAGACGGGAATTAGTGATGGATGAGCATAGAGCAACTTTAACACACACTGCCACATATGTGTCTGTCATCTCCAAGGCCATGCTCTCAGAAAGCAGGCTGCCAGTAAATTCCAGCAAAGTACTTTCTTAATCCCACACCCTGGCTCTGAGGGGCCTGGTGTTCTCTGTTCTCCTTAGGTACTGATTGCTATTTCTGCTGGGGAAACCAGACCTCACAACAGCTCCTGGCAGGCCCTCCTCACTTTGGCCAGTAATCCCAACCACTACTAGAAATGAGCAGCTACAAAAAACCCTAACTTGTTTACAGGAAAGCTGGAAAATCCTAAAATTCAAGATCTTATCTCCCAAGATTTTCCCGGCAGGAAAGCCCTTCTCAGTCCAAACAGCTTTTTGTAATCATTAAGATAATTATATTCTGCACAAGCAGACAATAAGGAAATGGGCAGGCAAGTGGAAAGAGGAGTGCATTATTAGTATAGGAAGAGAAAATATCTGGCTTAAGTCTGAGGAAACCCTAACAGTTCCAAGCATGAATGGGAGGGGCCACCCTAAATAAAACAGTGAAAAGATGTGATCTCACTCATTCTTCTCCACTAAGAACTTCAGCTAAATTGCAAATTCTTTTAGCTTTCCCAGATACAGGGATGTTTGGGGCAGCAGCATTGCTTAACACTGCTCAGTCCTTGATTGCGGCCCCACTGGAATCTCCATAATGAAAAACAACACATGAAATTGGATCCACATGCATCCACCCACAGCCTGGACTCCGGAGGGAGTATTTTACTGACAGGCACATGCCGGTGCTCAGCATTCAAACAGGGGCCTCCTGCAGTCAAGCTCCAGCTATTAAAACAAAATTCACCAGCCCAGAGTCAAAAGTGACTGACACTATTTCACCCCAGAACACTGGTCCAGCTCTCCGTACCTCAAGTTCAGTCTCCTGTCTGTTGATGTCATCCGTGGACTGATTTAACTTCTCCAGCTCTCCCTGATGAAAAGAGAGAGAGAGTTGAAGGATGCATCTTTTGTTTCTAGGGTAACTTAGTCCACAACTGGAAAATCACCCGAGTGATGAAAGTCAGTTCTTCCTTAAAGAAAACAGTTGAGACTTTGCTTAAAGCATTCAGCACTTCTAAAACTTTGTGACATGTCTGTCCTTTTTGACAACATCTTGAGGTCCAAGGGATTTGCCTTTCCCTGAAAGGTCATTTCCCCCACCCTCCCCACCCCAGGTGAACTCAGCTGCTGCAAACTGTAAGTTACCCAGTCAAAACAGCATCCTCGGCTTTAAAGAACAACTTTACAGAAGGCCAAGCCAAATCACAACCCCGGTGAGCCATTAACTTATCTTTCTTTACCTATAAAGAGATGAATTTTCCCCCTAATTACCCATTATTCACCCTACCTGATGGGGGATGTTGGTTAACTAGCTTTTATCCTGCTCTTTTTAAACATTTACAATCTAATATTTTGTAAGAAATGGCTAACATGAAGTTAACTAACTCATCTCTACTCTGTAAACAAAGGGTATTGCTAACACATGCTAAACCCACAAGATTTCCTGGTCCAAACCCATGGTCTGAATTAACAGAGTAGCTAATGAGAAGGTTTTCTCACTGATCTTTAATGTGTTAATCTGACAAAACAATGAGTTTAGAATGTATCCACTGAATTAAAAACAAGCCTTCTCCCCCCTGTGCACTTAAAACCAATTACCGATCCAGAAATTGCAGGATAGCAATTAAAAAAAGATATGGAAAGGGAATAAAAATGGGTCATGGAAAGGAATTTGCTGAGTTTAGGAGGGTGAAGAGGTTAAACTGTCACTCCTAGATCTCGCTTGGACATTATTTTTAAACATGTCTCCTGGAAATGGAGGCACAGCAGGCCAGGCCATCCCCTTCTCTCCTCTGCTTTATGCATCAGCTGTCCCTAGTTGATGTTCATACCCGACCTCAAGGAAAAGCATGGTTTTAAACAGTTTGAGGCCGCCAAGTGCAACACGTTCACAACGAAGCCCTCCGTGCATTGACAATTAACCCAAGAGGAGGGCGACTGAGGCCAAGCAGGCATCTCCGCCAGGTGAGGGCTCGCGCAGCGCTGAGCTCCGGTGCGGCTCACGCCGCAGGGGCAGGCGACAACGACCCGGTCCCGCTCGCCCACCACGGTGTCCGCGTCCACGCGGCCGGGGTAACGCTCCTCGGAAACCCCAAGCCTGTGCAATGCTCAGGGCACCGAGAGCTGCGCCAAGGTACCCCGACTCCGCTCGGGGCCCCCGCCCCCTTTTCCCTTTGTTGCAATCCGCCCGAACCGCTGGTTGTATTGCAAGGACCCTCGGGCTGGGCCGAAGGTCTGCAGGGATCCCCGAAATAATCAGGCCGCGTCCACACGGGCACTGCAGCCTTCCACTGGGAGATCGTGAAATGGGGTACTCCCAAGCCAAGCCTCGGTACAGCTCCGTGACCTAAGCGGCCTCCACCCCGCGACCGCGGACTCGCGGGGCTGCAAACCGTGTGTCCGCTTAGACGCGGACTTCCGCGGCAGCCCTGGTGAGGTGGGGCTGTGGGCTCCTCTCACGCGTCCTACCTGGATCCGGGGGTCCACCTCTTCCTCCTCCTCCAGGCCCTGCTCCATCCTCTCTTCCTCCTCCTCTTTCTCCTCCACTTCCCGGGCGGGCGGCGGAAGCTCCGCCGGCTCCTCAGAGCGGCTCCGCTTCAGCACCGCGTCCATGCGGGCAGCCGAACGCCCCGCAGCCGGGTCGCAAAGCGCGCGGTGGGATCCGAGCGCGCCGAGGGCCGCCTCGCCAAAGCCGGGTAGGTCCGGGCGCGCAGCGCTGCCACCCGGGTGCGCCGCCGGCGGGTGCGGAGCGGCGGAGGAAGTGGGCGCGGCCGCCCCCTGTCTGCAGCGGCCCGCAGCGCACCGCGCCCGCTTCGCCCGGGCCGCCGGATAGTCAGCCCGTCACCCGGTGCTCTGTCACAAAAAGCCCAGCGCCCTGGCGTCCCTGCCGGGACCGCAAGGAAAGGCGCCGCCCAGTGGCTCGCCAGCCCGCGCGAGGGCCGCCTGCTTGAAACGAGCTTCCTCCTGCCTCCGGTGAAGCCAACCAGGGCACGGAAGGAAAGTTCAGGTGATTCCTATTCTCCGAAGCTACCTTCGGGAGCCTGGATAGGATTGTTTCTGGGGTCAACATGGGGATCTGATTTCCCAAGAAAGGGAACTCTACCGTAATCCCACATGTACAGCGGGTTTAGAGGATAGCCAGCCAGCCACCAAATGGACGTCCAAAGGCTGGAGCCCAGAGGGCAGAGCTTGGCAAGCAAAGGGATGCTCTCCTAGAGCCTACCTGGATATCCAGGAAGCATTGAGAGCCTGTGTGGCAGGGGGAATCTCATGGACTGGGGAGGCTTTTAAAAGAGCTCACACTGCCTGCTCGTGCGTACGCTTGGCCAATGTAGGAGCCATGTGGGTTTCAGGCCCAACATGAAACAAGGAACCAGAGCTTGCCTGGCGAACTGGGCATCACAAAAGGGCTAACAGTACAGGGGGTTGCTCTGTGTAGTTGCAGGTGCCAGGGTCACTGTGGGGTCAGGAAGTACCTGGTCAGATGCCCTAATAAGGAATCTTTGTAGATCATTATAGAACACTTTGTAGAGGGAAACTGTGGCCCACATGGAATTTGGAGGATAGCTTTGCTTGGGAGAGGAGTTTCTGGGACCCTATGATCAGAACCACCTTACAAAAGTCATTGCCTCTGGGTTTTTTCCAAAAGCAAAGCAAGGGGCCACTCGGGCAAGGTCGCACTCTGTCTGATGGAGACTGTGCAGGTGTGTGGTCCAGGTTTATCTCTAAGAGAGCACAACTGTTCATTGCTGGTGCCTTGCAGGGGGGAGATGATTTGAAGTTCTTTGCTAAAGATGTAGTGGCTTTTGGTTTGCAATGATAATGCTGGAATGGTGGTCATTTAGGGTCAGACCCAATGAGTATTATCCACTTGGAGTCTCACGGGTTAAACTGCATTTCAGCCTTTATGTTTTAGATTTATTTATCTACCTGTATACAATGTTCCAACTGCAGGCCGGAAGAGGGCACCAGATTTCATCATAGATGGTTGTGAGTCACCATGTAGTTGCTGGGAATTGAACTCAGGGCCCCTGGAAAGAGCAAGCACCACTCTTAACCCCTGGGCCATCGCTCCAGCACTCCCAACTAAGACGCCTAGCAACAGTGGATAGGTAGCCTGAATCCTGTGGTGGTGGTGAGATGGTGGTGGAGGAGGAGGACGGATTCTATGAGCCAGGGGGATCAAGAACATCACAGGGGAACCCCCACAGAAGCAACTGGCCTGCTCTTGGGAGCTCACAGACTATGAATTGACCACTAGGGAGCCTGCGTGGGACCTGCCTAGGCCCTATGCATGCCTCCTTGTGGGCCTCCTGGCAGGGGGAGTGGGACCTGTCCTTAAAGCTTTACTGGCTTTTAGGAACTTGTTCCTAATGCTGGATTGCCTTGCCCAGCCTTAATACAAAGAGAGGAACCTAGTCCTACCTCAATTTGCTATGCCCTACTTTGCATATCATAGAAGGCCTGCCCCTTTCTGAACAGAGGTGGAGGAGGAGTGATTGGGGAGGAAGCAGAGAGGAAATGGGAGGAAGAGGGGAAGTTGTGGTGGGGGTATAAAAAAATGAAAAAAAAAATTTAAATTAACATGGGCTCACAGGGACTCACAGAGACTGAACCAACAACCAGGGATCCTGCATGGGACTGACCTAGGCCCTCTGTGAAGCCCACCTATTTCAGAAGAAAAAAACAAAACAAAAACAAAAAAAAAAAAAAAAAAAAAACCAGGAGTGGAGTGGGGAAGAGAACCTGTGATTGGGATGTAGAAACAAAACAAAAATAGAAGAAAGAAAATCCCTGGAGCCTCTTTTTCTAAGGATGTTAATTCCATTTCTCAGACCTCCACCCCCCAGGCCCTGTGACCTCCCAAGGCTTCACTTCCTAAAACCATCAATTAGGTGTTGTTTTCACCCAATTCAGTGGCTGCCTGTTAAACAACAGCTGTCCTAATCAGCATCTGCAACTTGGCTGCTGGTTCAGGCCACAAGGTTCACAGGGGTGGAGTGGGGGTTCTTTTATTGGGGGGAAATTCTGTTCCCTCTCTCACAGCTACTAAAGGAAACTATCTAGGTCTCTACCCCTCTATAGAATTCAAGGGTCAAAGGTTGAGGTGAAATTCTTCTGGTTTAGAGAGGCTGAAACACAAGTAGTTAACCTCTACTCCTTGCTGAGCTCCAGAAAAGCCCAGGAGACCTTCTGCCCAGCTCCCACTTAACACTTCCTGCACCTGGTCCCTCCTTACCACTTCCTGTCAGCCAATTGCTGACCCAGTCTCCTGACCACAGGTTAATAATTTTATTTAATCAAACAAACATGTTTTTGCATTGTAAACAAAAGCAGTAGGAAGAAATGTAACACACCTTAAAATAATATTCTACAATTAGGAATTTGCAGGGAACCAAACCAAAACTTCCAGTCCACAACCTAAAAAGAACCACACAGCCAGAACTTCAAAACAAAACAGCAGATGCTTCCCCTACCCAGTGCCTTGTGGGCGATTCATTGCAGGCGTACTTCAGGCTGGGATCTTGTTGGGCACTCTAAACACTTTCAGTTTAATTTACAGTTTAAATACCCCAGGAGCTGGTTAGATAAAGTGTGCTGTGATGATACCTTCCTGGATCTGTCTTTGTTATTCCTGGGAAGCAGCTATTGCCTGACCATAACATGCCATTCTCAGTTTGTCTGTAATGTGTTTCCAAGGGTAGCAATGCTCCTTGCCAGGCTTTCTGTGGCTCAGAGAGGTAGGTGTGCGGATCATCTGTATCTGTTGTGGAATAATCTTTCTGTACACAGTGAAGTGTGTCACTCTGATTACTAAAAAGCTGAACACCCAATAGCTAGGCAGGATTTCCAGGCAGAAAGGATGCTGGGAAGAAGGGAGCAATGCCTAGCAAGCAGGATGGGGACTTTGGAAATGATATAATAAAGTCACGAGGCAGAAAGCAAATTAGTAGAAATGGGTTAATTTAAGTTAAGAGTTAGTTAGGAACAAGCCTAAGCTATTGGCCAAGCTTTCATAATTAGCAAGTCTCCATGTCATTATTGGGGAGCTAGATGGTCCTGCAGTTTCCTTAGAGTTCTGCATCCATAACCGTTTCAAGGCTGCTGGATGAGATGGTCCAGACTTACAGTCTACTCCAGTTAGACTTCGGATAAGCCCTACATTTTCCCATCACATGGAGAGTGGCCAACAGCTACGAGTTGTTACAGGTCATGGTCAGAGAGGAAAGCTAAACAAAGAAGATTAGATTCAAGGATCTCTTTCTAAATGGAAAAAGTAGGGATATAGTATAGAAATGATGAGATAAAAGGGTGGATTGATGAGTCTACTTTTGAACAGCCACTAGTCTCAAATATTTTACATTGGTATGGATTTTTTTTTATATTTATACAAATTTAAGGTTATTTTTGTTATACTGTATATATGTTTCTCTTCTTGTTTAAGATATTGTACCTATGCATCTCATTTTAAAAGGTTATAAAGTTTTAATGTTTAAAAGCTGTTTAGGATATTAAAGAAATACAGGTAAGTAGTTAATCAATAATAACAATCAAACATTTTAAATAGAGAGATGGTCTTCAAACTCTTCATAGACCTACAGAATACAACATTTAAGCATAAGGCTTTTCGTGACAATGAGACACATCTGCTCCTGGCAGCACCAATATACTTCATAAAAAGGATGAGGGGCATTGAAGAACCTCCATGTGGAGTTTGCTTTCTTGGTGGCAAAAGCTGGTAGCCATTTGAGCAAGAAACTGCCCTTCCCTCAACTCCTGACAGTATGCTGTCTAAACTGGACAAGCAGCACACACACACACACACACACACACACACACACACACACACACACCAACTGCCAAACTTTGCCAAGACAAGATAGGACAGCCCTTCAAAAATTTCTTGCTTCACAAAAATGTCTGTCAGATATTCTAGGCCCTGGGGCTAATGATGGAATTCCCAGCATTAAAAAGGAACCTTGGGGTGACTGTCCAGGCAGCAAGATGTCTCTGTCATTGCTATAATTTTAGAAGTTGCTTTCTTTGCACTTTGTGTTTACTCAGGTTAATATTTTATCCTTCTCAGGTCTCTGATAAAGACTAAAAACTAGATAGTTATAGTTTTAAAGTTTTCCATGTTACAAAATTCAGAAAAGAAATTTAGGTAAGAGATATAAAGTTTCTAAGGTTGAGAAATATAAAAGCTTATGTTGTGTATCTAAAAAGCTGTTTTAAAGCCTAAAAAGATTGTTTTAGGATGGTAATACAAGTTATAACAAAAAATAATTCAGGCGTAAAATTTAGGATAGATAATACAGCACTTTTCTCTGAATTTGCCAAATACAAATGAATACATCATGAATGTAATTCTTACCTGATAATTGTTGTTATTGTTTTACTATGTTAGAGTTAAAACCTTTCCTTTTTATTTAGACAAAAGGGAATGTAGAATAATCTTTTTGTACACTGTGAAGATGTATCAATCTGGTTGGTTAATAAAAAGCTGAATGGCCAATAGCTAGGCAGGATTTTCAGTCAGAGAAGATGCTGGCACAAAGGGAAAGATGCCAGGAGATGCAGAGCAAGCAAGAAATGAGGTATAATAAAGTCATGAGGCAGAAACTAAATTAATAGAAATAGGTTAATTTAAGGTATAAGAGCTAGTTAGAAACCAGCCTAAGCTATTGGCTGAGCTTTTATAATAGTAAGTTTTCATGTCATTATTGGAGCTGATGGTCCCAATGAAAAATGCCAACTACTTGTGTTAAAGTGGCACTGCTTGGCAGGGTCACAGTGTGGGCAGAGGTGCTGTTATGTTTTGGATGTGAAGTATCCCCA